ATTAAAGAAGCCACTGTACTTACGGTGCATTGATTATTATTTTACTGTTTACACTGAGGTTGCGTATCCTTACTAGGTTCTTATGATCGACTTACGTCACTCATTCTCCCTGTTTACTTTATCAGACAGGATGGATACTCCCTCTCGTCCCACCCTAGTGCTAACTGGCCTCTTTCCTTTGACTCTACGAAATGTGTTGGCTCATGGCCTTTCAGATTTTTTTTTTTTCTTCCCTTGCTTTGAATTAAAAAAAATATATCAAAAGAATTAGCTCTTTTTCCACCTTCTCTAGCATGCCCCCAAAATGTTACCCTTTTATGGGTGATGTTTTTTTTTTCTTAATCTGAGTGAGATTAGCAAAAGATTTTGCTTAGAAACTGTAGCAGTTTGGATCTTTAAAGCCATCAGTGCAATAAATTTAGAAGGAGAGACATCCGCTACAGGGGACCACCTAGCAGCCTGGTGTGTCTCCAGTTTTGGGCCAAAGGCAAAGGACCGTGAGAGTTATCATCCCAAATATCTGGAGGACTCCAGATTAACGATCCCTGCAAATACCTGTATTACTGTACCTCAATAACTGTCTGGTTTGGCACAGCAACCAAACAGGACAGGTACAGATTTCAATGGATAGTTAGGCCTGCAGAAAAAAAACTATCGCAACCAGCCTGCTTAAAGATAGTCCCCCACCCCCATCTGCCCCCGTGCCATCATTCTGCACGGAGGGAAATTCCCACAGCACTGTCTCATTTCTCATCTTTACTCATCTTCTCAACTATCTTCTCCTATTGGTTTCTTAAGATTTATCAGTTGTGGTTTGTAACTTACGATTAATGATTGTAACTATGATTTATGACCTATGATTACTTGCTGTTTATATGTACACTTGTGAGCTTATGCGCCGGAGACAAATTCCTTGTGTGTCTGATCACACTTGGCCGATAAAGAATTCTATTCTAAATTGTTGAAATATTAGTAGGCCACATTGGTGATCAATGCCAGCCACAAGCAGTGAAAAGAGGATGAAGATAAACGAACATAACATACAAAACGCTTTTATTTCAACAAGCCGGGCTGGCCTAATTTTTAAATTTTAATTGTTAATTCTTTTTTAAACATTTAAATTGGGTTGTTTATTTTAATTATATGGGCCAAACTATTTAATATTTTTAAACTGTTTTTTAAATTTTATATTTGTGGGTTTTATGCTGGCTGTACACCGCCCTGAGTCCCTTTGGGAGAAGGGCGGTATATAAATTAAATTAATAAATAAAATAAATAAATAAATAAATACATTACTCCCAAGTCTTTGTGCACAGATATGGCCTTACGCATGTGAGGTAAGACTCCTGGAAACTACTGCCTTAAAATTTACCAGCTGGCTTCATGCCTAAGGCAGGACTTGAACCCACGGTCTCCCTGTTCCTAGCTCAGGGTTTCCTATGCCTTAACCCAGAGGTCTTCAAACTTGGCAGCTTTAAGACTTGTGGACTTCAACTCCCAGAATTCTCCAGCCAGCATAGCTTAGTCTTAAAGCTGCCAAGTTTGGGGACCCCTGCCTTAACCACTGTACCAACTGGTTCTCACTCTTCGGAGCAAATAGACACCCTCACAGCAGAAACAGGTATGGCCCAAACCTGTTTCTTTTTGTTGTTTAAAATAAAGGAATTGAGATCACTCTGAAGAAGAGGAATACATGTTTAGCTGGCATCAGACTCCAAATAAACCAAGAATACATTCCATTTTACTTAGAAAAATATCACTGAACTCCCGGGGCTTATTTCTTGACATTGAATGACACTATAAATATACTTCCTTTAACATCTGCGTTGATTATCTTGGGAATATGTAAATGTATTTAAATCTAGCTCATAATTTGTCAAAAGGCAGGTGATTAGTTAGCTAAAACCCCTTTAATTAGCTGACAGAGCTATTAAATGCAGTCTGCCATTTATGTAGAATGTTCAAATTAATTCTTGTTCATCAAACTAGCCTAAATTTTTATAATGATCTTGTTCTTAATTTAAGACAACAAAAAAAGGCAATAGGAATGCAAAGCTAAAAAAGCGAAATGCATAAAGTTGATCCATCATCATTCCTGATTAATTTTACAGCATGATAAATTTACCCAAGCAAATGCATACTATCTTGAACAATTCATTTGCTTAAAAAAATTCTTTTCTTCATAACTCTGTGTTATTTCAACCAAAATAGATGGACTACTATGGCCAATGCAGAGTTCAGCTTTTTCTATCTGGCTCCTTCCAGATGTGTTGTAAATTCATTCCACAGAATTTCTAGCCTACAGGGCAAAAGGCTGGGTGCTCTAGAATTGCAATCCCAACACATCTGGAGAACACCAAAGAGAAGAAAGCAAATGTAGTGACTGGAGTTGCCTCAGGGCCACTTTCATGAAAAATACTTTCAGGAAGGTGTGAGCAATGAACATGAATCACTTCTGTGTGTAAAATCTTTTAATCAAGTTGCTTATTATTCAGAAAAGAACTCTTGTTCTTTCCCCCCCTACCCCCACTATGTGGGAAAGAAAGTAAGCTTATTGTGAAATTGGTTTGCATGAGAAATTGGGTTTTCCAAACCGAGTGTTGTAGTTTATTTATATCCTGCCAACATCTCCACTACATTTTCTTCCTCCTATTTTCTCCACAACAAGAACAATAACTGTGTGAGGTGGGTTGGGCTGAGAGGCAGTGACTGACCCAAAGCTATCCACCTGACGTTCATGGCTAAAGCGGGACTTGAACTTATGGTCTCCCACTTTCTAGCCTTAACCACTAGACCACACTTCCTCTCATAGTTTTGAGATAGTTGTGATTTTGAAGTAAACCCCTTTGGGAAGTGGCTAGATTTACCGATTGCTATAAGCCATAAATTGATGTGTATGGCTTTACCTTGCTGTCTTGCATGAACCTGACTATTGTGGTTAATAAATCATAGTTTACAGCTTATTGTGTTGTACAAATCTATCCAGTGATTTATTGTCTGCCCTTTGAGGTAGACCAAGCTAGGAAAAACTATTAGGAATACTGATCCTATTCATAATGGCGGCTCTTCCTCCTGTCCCTCAAGGCTGTTCTTACATCTTATTACATTTATAGATTAAACTGCTATGGTTTAGTGAATGTAGGCAATTATTTATTTGCAGTTGCAGCAACAAATTGAACAAAACTTATAAATAGGTGAAATGAGATGCCTTGTCTGTCTTGTGTATGTTAGCAGACCAGGTATACATTCCTCATGATTTTTCAGAGTTTGCAACTCTTTGAAGTACTGAAGCCACAAAATGAATAGTTGTACTTTGCAATATCTAGCAAAGCCAAGAAATGAAACATTTTACGACAAGCCTCTCTGAAGATTTCTAATAATAAAGACTCACCATATAGTTTGTCTGCTTTTCTCTGAAAGCCTGCTTGGCTGACAAGCTCAGTACAGATGGTGCCAGACATCCCCATATGCCAAAAAGAGAGAGGATGAGGGCAAGGCATATTTTGTCTATGAATGGAGATAACAGGCTTTTAAAAAAATAGGTGTGGGCTAATATTACCACCTATTAGGATGAGGAGAGCTAAGGTGCTTTGCAGTGGATTCCTGCCAAAACCTAGGTTGGATCCCCATCTTTCTTTAGCTTGATTATTTTCTTATCAATTGAGGCTGATTTAGGAGAGAACTGGATTCAAGAACAAGAAGCTAAACTTAAAGGCACTTGGGACCCCTAAATGTATTGATTCCCCCCCCTCTATTTCGGGGGTGGGTTTCACTTACCTTTGCTACTGGTTCACTCGCGTGCGTACCCCATCTGCACATGCGCAGATCATATTTGATGACGTCCGGGTGGGTGGGTGGAGCCTCCCGCCGCTACTGCTACTGACTCGCCCAAACCGAGGCGAACCGGTAGCAACCCACCACTTTTCTATTTGGTATCTTAAAAATTAGGGGGGAGCTACCTTTGATGGAATATGAATACTAAAACATTGAAAAGTAGTCTTTTAGATATTAAGATTTCTCTGCTGAATTGACAGGAAAAACATTCTACATTCGCTTACAAGAAATTAGCTCCTGTAGGATTAGACAGCAATCTAAACAATTCATTTATATTAACATTTCTGGTCTGGTGGCTCAGAATGATGGGAGGAGAATTTGAAGCCTCATGAAGAATTCATAGAAGTTGGGTAGCTAATACATTTATAATAATACCGTAACAACACAACAATAGCCATTTTACCTATTATTTCAAAACAATGAGGTTTTTAGTTGTTCTCCTACCTTCCCAGGAGGTTTCTGATTTAGATTTTTTTCGCATCTAGAATCCAGAATCATTTTTGTTGTGATTGCTATTTAAGAATTGTGTTTGCACAGTTATTAAGCTGGTTGCTTTTTCAAGATGGGTTTGGAGTGGAAGTAGAGGACATTGGTGAGAGAGAAAATGATTGGAAAAGAATGAAAATCCTGCCATATGAATGTTGAAAAGACAAATGTAATGGCTTAAAAAAATCTACACCAAGAAAAGTGGTGTCAAGAGCTTTCAAACTGTGGGGTCCTTGGTACTCTCTGAGCTTGGTTGTTTTCTTGTAAACATTTCATTACCAAACTAGGTATCATCATGAGTGCTAGCTCAGAGAGCACCAAGGACCCCACAGTTCAACCCTGAGCTGCAAATATTCTCTTCTATCAATTTTCAAAGTGCACGCCTCTTGGAGTTTGTAAATTCCTGTAATTCAGCAAGGATAGTGAATGCTTCAATCTAAAATTGTAAATTCTGGATCAGAAATTAAACATTTGAAGTACATTTCATGAGAGCAATCTTAAGATTTAATTTACAGAGTCTCTCCCACACAAACTATCAAAATAAAGTCAACTATGTTTTTAAGTAAAGGCAGTTGTATTCAGGTTGCTTTATTTATTTAACATATTTACCATAAATTTGAGTATGCAAGTAATTAGCAGTATTATACTTAAATTCTCCTTCCCTTCCGTTTTCTCTGCAGAATCTTATGGCAAGAGCCCTTTATGATAATGTCCCAGAATGTGCAGAAGAATTGGCCTTCCGGAAAGGTGATATTTTGACTGTGATAGAACAAAACACTGAAGGATTGGAAGGATGGTGGCTCTGCTCTTTACATGGACGACAAGGCATTGTTCCTGGAAACCGTGTGAAACTTCTGGTAGGCCCTGTACAAGAGAGTCCATCTCACCAGGACTTGTCAAATTCAGGACCAGCAACTCAGTCCCCTAACCAGCAAAAAGTCTACCAAGTGCCAAATGCTCATACCTCTCCTCGGGATCCCATCTATCAAGTTCCGCCTTCTTATCTGAATCAGGGAATCTACCAGGTACCTACCGCCCACGATGTTTACCAAGTGCCTCCATCCGGGCAGAGAAGTTTTGCTGGAGTTGATGCAGGCAATAAGGTGGGTACAACTTGATATTTCAAGCATCTGCTTCCAAAGCATTTGCATGAAACACATTATTGTGGGGTTGAAAAAGTGTCTGAATTTGGTGGACTTTTCTATTCTACACGAATGGTATTTAATATGCATTTAATGTGTCAGAAGGGAAGTATGTTAATAACCAAGAGAGACGAACAGCCATTATGGTCAAAGCACTACAAGGATAATAGAATTAGACAATTCCCCTGAATTCTATCTTCTAAATGTTGTATTCAAATAAAAATTCAAATCAGAAGCAGGAACGGTAGTTTGGGCCAAAATCTGGACAGCTTGGGACTAATCCCATACTAGCACAAATGATACCTGACCACACACCCAAGGGACTTGTGTTCCCTCTCATGCTTTGGGAGTTGGGCGGCATAGAAATGCGACTAAATAAATAAATAAATAAATGGAATTGAGTCAACCTTGATAGATTCCCAAGAATTGTAAACAAATAACCCTTAACTATATTTAATTAATTCAATCCAAATTGTAAATTAACTAGCCTGCATGCTGTTATGAAGACCGGAAACATTTTGGGGCTCATATAGAAAGGATTAAGATTTAGAATTTTGTTAACATAAATCTACACAGATGGTACTGAGTGTGGTTCACATTATCTGCAGCCTCCTAGAGCATATCACCTAGACACTTCGTGGGTCACACTTTCTTTATTTGTACCAAAGTTATGAAAATGCCAGCTTTAGATAAAAGTGCCTGTTTGTTTAAGGAATGTATGTTGCAGGCTACGTGGAAAAAATGATGCAAGAGTGACATTATTACTATGCCAGAAATAACAGGAAGTCTGGATAATCATAATTAAAAGGGTAACTCAGTGTAAAATCTAGAGCAAAGAAAGTGTCACCTGGCACTCCTCTACAGCATTAACATGTCCTTGGCAGGAGTCAAGGTAATTGCCTCTTAAAAGCTGGAGGAAAAAAATATTTATTTTTTAAATAAAACCTTTGCATTTCCTCTGATAATGAGGCCGGAAAGCAAGATTATCAGAATACTCCTCGGAATACTTAGGTCTTGTTATTTAGCCATTATGAATGTGTTGCAATGACATACAACAGCTAGGAAGTACATGTCTGGCAGTGCCAAAGTTTAATCTTAACACTGAAGTTGATAGGAGCAGAAGTTCTGACTGCCTTTTCAACTATGAATCCTTTCAGTTTACCTTGAATTACGCTCCCATTTAATTTAGAAAAACTTAAAACCATTAATAGCTTTTAAGAATTTCATTTTCTATTCAGCCTTTTTTGGGGGAGTGGTGGTGGAGAAACCTTATCTGATATTTTGATTGTGGATTCCTCCCTCCTTCCCCCATTGCAATAGACATATTTTCTATAGACAGCAAATGAATTTCTAGTACATTTGTTTACTGGGCAAACCGTCCACAAATACCTGATTTAATAATGGGGAAAATATTTGTGTCCATTTGGGGGAGAGGACAGAAATTCGAGGATGTCCCAGTAAGGAGATGAAATGGGTGTATAAAAACCCCACTGAGGCATAACCCATCTGTTCTAACCCTTGGCTTAACAAAAAGTCTTTAACAAATTACGTCATTGAAAATGTTGTTACCAAATTTGGGCAGCTTGTAGTGTGGGTGGTTTGGAGATTGCAAAGTAGGATTTGGGGATAGCAGATGACAGATGGCCACCTGGGTTCTATGAATTTTGAAACTGTAGTGTAAATTATGTTTAAACTGATTTCATCTGCTTAACTAAATTCCAATATAAAATACCTTGATACGAAATCATTTCCTTGCCACTGCTACCACCTCCTCCTCCTCCTCCTCCTCCTCCTCCTCCTCCTCCTCCTCCTCCTCCTCCTAAGTGCTACTCTGGAAAGGCTGACATCACTGTATAGGAAACTCTTTTGGACTTAAACCTTGGCAAAACTTATATTTGAAGAGTGACTATCTAGTGGACAGTTGGAGTCCAAAGCAAAGTTAATATGAATACAGGTAGTCCTTGACTTATATCCATAACTGAGCCCAAAATTTCTGTTGCTGAGACAGTTGTTAATTGAGTTGAGCCCTATTTTATGACCTTACTTGCCACAGTTATTAAATAAATTACTGCAGTTGTTAAATTAGTACCATAGTTGTTAAGTGAAACTAGCTTCCCCATTGACTTTGCTTGTCAGAAGGTGTCCAAAGATGACTCTGGGAAACAGCAACTGTCATAAATATGAGCCAGTTGCCAAGTGTCCGAATTTTGATCACTTGCCCATGGGGATATTGCAATGGCTGTAAGTATGAAAAATGGTAATAAGTCACAACAAGTGCTGTTGTAACTTGGAATTGTCACTAAACGAATGGTTGTAAATTGAATCCTACCTGTACTCAAGGTTAAAATCAAAGCCAAATTAACCCTAAGAAATGTGAGATAGAGTCCCAACATATATCTCCTACTTGCAAAAAAAATATATGTATTGATGAACTCCTGGTTTCATGCAGTCCAGAGTCACTTTGTGGGGGATATTAAATATAAATTTAATAAAAAACAAATAATAAAATAAATACTTGACACCTAAAATATGAATATCATTCCTTCAACTGACAACACCTGTCCCTAGCAGATTAAATGAACTGCTGTGTTTAATACAGGCAATACTTACAAGTATTCTGTGTGTCTTGGCAAAGCTGTGGAGTTAAAAATATTCCATCTCACATAATCTCAGAGAGCCTTATTAATAGCAGAGGGTCAAAATATCTGGAAGCCTTCAGCCAGCCTGCAAATGACTTGCTCCTGTCTTCTAGCAAGATTTTCTCGTGTAAACCACAGTTTGTCATCATCCTTGTCCAATGAGAAGGCAAGATGATAAGCTAATGAATAAATACAACAGATCTCTCCATTTACAACTTTCTTTTTAAAATTGTTTATTTTCACAGCGGTAATTTGTATAGAGGAGAAAGGGGGACATATTTATTCAGCATCAATGTAAAAAATAGAGAGGCTTCCAGTACTGTCCTGGATATACTGTAGCATGTCAGCTATGGTGGCTCAGTGGCTAAGACGCTGAGCTTGTTGATTGAAAGGTCAGCAATTCAGCGGTTAGAATTCCTAGTGCCACATAATAGGGTAAGCTCCCGTTACTTGTCCCAGCTTCTGTCAACCTAGCAGTTCAAAAGCACGTAAAAAATGCTAGGAAAATAGGGACCACCTTTGGTGGGAAGGTAACAGCGTTCTATGCGCCTTTGGCGTTTAGTCATGCCAGCCACATGAGCACGGAGACTTCTTCAGACAGTGCTGGCTCTTCCACTTTGAAACGGAGATGAGCACCACCCCCTAGATTCGGGAACAACTAGCACATATGTGCAAGGGGAACCTTTACCTTTAAGTATGCATACACATCAAGGACAAAAAGATGACTCCATGCATACATATTTATATTTAATCTAGTATATCACCACCCTGAGGGGACCATAACATGAGAAAATAGACTTGCAGAGCTGGAATAAACATTTACAAATGGTTCTCAACATGAAAAATATGTCAAGAAAGAGCAAACTAGCATATCAAGAAATGAGTTGGACAAAAACTTGGTGCCACTTAGTCCATGTGCCTCTGTTAAAATAGCAGATATCTGCAGGGACCAGTTGTTCAAAGAGATCTTTGAAAAACTGCCTATGAAAGGGAGTGGGCACCGAGCTCCTTACAAGCAGCTAATTCCCTCTGTGGAACACAGTGTTTGCTACTTAACAGTTTCCATTAGATAAGCACTGAGCATTATAAAACCATGCTCACACAGCAGTTATTGCTGGCGGGCATGGCAAGGCAGGTCAGAGAGACGTCTCCAGGCAGGTGATTAGAGTGATGCCATAACTGAGGAATGTGAAGGCCATTGCTGGATCAACTTCTCCTTCGGTGCTGAAATAAGCTCTGAAAACAAATGCTTTCAAATTGGCTGAAATCAGTGATGGATGGCTTGAATAAGTCTTTGAATCCCTTGTTGAAAATGAGATTCTCAACCAGGATTGTATGTCACAAAAAATAAATCAAAAAGGCTGAGTTGCCGCTACATTTACAACACGTTTGCTACTTCTATCTAAAAGGCCATAATTCTGGCTGTCTAAAAGGCCATAATTCTTGAACAATCTTGAGATCCTTGGTGGCTTTCCAGGTTTTCCCACCAGCAGTGATAAATGTTTAGGTTTAACTGCTATTGTTCATTCTTTAGCTTTGTGGTGATCTTAAAGTAACTTAAATGGTTTTTCAATCTGAGAAATTCCTTTTTCTTGCCCGTAGTTTTCAGGACACTTTATGCAAATGGAAAATTGTGGCAATGTTGGGATGGGAACTGTCTGGCTTTACTGTTGTCAGGAACAGCTGTGAGAATGGTATGGAAGTGCCCTCGGCTGTGGACAGGAGGGTTGGAATTGCCCATCTGACATCCTGCACATTTGATTTATCCATCATGGGTAATGCTATCTTGCTATAATGACCTGGGCTTAGAAGATAAATAAACTTTAGGGGGAAATCTTATACTATTGAACAAGATTTTGATCTTTTGAATGTGTGTATTTGGGCACTTTCTGATTTAAATAATGATAGAACAGTTTCAAAGCATCTGCCTTGATCACATGAGTAAAATATGAAGAGAGTTCAAACCACAATAGACTTTCCTGGATTGGTAAACTTAATTTCTATCATTATTCTTATTGAATAATTAACGATTATGGGTTGTAAATCCTTGCCAATCTAGTATAATAAGCCTAACGATTTACCTGACTTTTGCCCAAAGTTATGTAGACATTCTTTATAAACAGTATAATTTTAGGCTCTTTGGGCCTTCTCAACTACTTTTTGAATATCTATGGAATCTTTCTAAATATTCTGAATTTATTGCATTATATTATAATGACCCTAATTTTGTTAAATTCTCTCTCGTTATGGACCTGCCAGATCCATAATATTGCTTCTGTAGGGCAAAATCTGGGTAGTTTATCAATTTTTCTCCGCACATTT